GGCGGCGGGAGCGGGAGGGGCGGCCGGGCGCTGCCTCGCCCCGGCGGGTGACCCCTGCTGCCTCCGCTGCCCGCGCCCCGCGAGCCGCCGGGGTCGCGTCCTTTCCCCTCCGGGACCCGTCTGCGCTTCCCGCCCTGGGGCGGCCCCTCCGCAGGAGCGCCCCGCACCCGAGGGGAGGGGAAGGCCTGGCGGCCGCCGCTCCCACAGCCCGCCCTTCCCCGCGGGACTGCCCGCCCGGGGCTGCGCTGCCTTTGTCGTGGCCCTGCGGAGGCGTTCTGGGGAGGAGGACCAGAGACCCCTGAAATGTAGCGCTGATTGCCAGTCACGGTCCTGCCTGATAACGCGATGCGCTAAACTCGGCTCACAGGGCGCATTTATCTGGCCCCTGGAAATGCTTAGAAAAATAGATGTCTCCAAATTATTCAAGTGCAATTAAGGCCACAAAAGAAAAGACACCTGAATTGGCTCTGTATTAGGCAGATGGGGTTCAGTTAGGCTTAGCAGCAGAGATACGCATGGTCTGAGCAGAATTACTGCAATTTCAGATGAAGGTCCAAGCGTGTCAAAAGGCTCTCCTCTGATCCTATTTGGGTGCCACAAGGAGCACCGCTGAAGCAGAGCTAGTAAATATTGATGGACTCAAGCTTCATGTCCTGAAATCAGGTCTGTCAATGCAGTGCTTCCCATTCTGTCACAGTACACCAGACATTTTCTACTCTGGGCACTGTAATTCCCCTATTACTATTTGGAAACTGGCTAGTGGAGTGCATAGTCACAGTATTTTCCAGCAGCTTGCAGAAGTAATCAAGCTTTGATGCGGAATACGATGTCACATAAAGTACTCACTCCTGGTGCTGGAAAGGCACCGTTCTCTCTGACATATGTTTCAAGCACACTTTCACAATTTATTGTTTCCATTAGAAAAGTATATAGTAATCTGAAAATCGATCTAAAAACCATTGTTCTAGATACTATGCTTGACACATAATAAAAAGAAAGCTCATGCCCTGCAGAGCTTGTATCAAGAGCAGATCAAACACGTTCTAAGGATACCCGTGGAGAGAGTTGTGCAGGTTTTCTCAGGTCTCACAAACGTGTTGCACCAGCACAAACAAACCTGCCGGAGCACTTTTCCAAAAACCGGCACGCAAACAGACAGGTCCGAACAAAAAGGCTGAAGCTTTAACCTACCTCGAACCTCTTCCCTTGCTTCTAACAAGCTCTCCTGACTCTGAGTGACCTCTCAGTGCTCCAGGGAGGCGAGGGCCGCAGCTCACGGGAAGCCAGCATCTCTGCCGAGCGAGCCGAGGGCAGAGCAGCGCGCACAAAGGTGATGGGCTCCTGCACAGGCAGCCACACGCACGCACCGTGCCCGCCTCTCCGGGCTACCTGTCTCGTCTTGTTTTAGCCGCTTCTGACGAGCAGGCAGGCTACTGGAGCATGCAGAAATCTTGCTTTTTGAAGCACCCTGAAAACAGGCTTGTATTTTTTGGTACCTCGGTGGCCCAGAAGAACTTGTCAGGAAGCAAGCGTCAAATAGGTAGTAAAATAGGCACAGCTATGGGGGAACCTCAGTTTCCTGCTTCCTGGGCTTCTCAGTGACCTACAAGAACCAAGAAACACCAGAAGAGGAGACTGAAACTGCCTCTCTTGCTCATTCTTCAGTGCCAGATCACATCAGGCTGTAAGATACCTGAGGACTATTTGTTTGCAGACTGCTGGAAGACAGAGACGGAATCACCTATTGGTGAGTCATAACCACACAATCGCAGAGGGGTGATGGCACAGACTTGCAAAGACACAGAGAGTGATAATAGCTTAAAAGTGTCTTCTTTCCACTTCTACTTTTTGATAAAAAAGCAAAATACTGGGACTAGATCCTCAGCTGTGGCAAAGAAAAGTAACTCCATTGCTTTTGTCAGAGCACAGATTTACACTTTCTGAGGTCATAGCCCATTCTATTTGTAAAAAATTGTTCTTCCTTAGCAGATTATTCCTTCCTTTCTCTAAATTTCAGTTTAATTATTGGATAATGTCTGGTTTGCAGGGCTCTAACTGTTGTGAGCCTTGCTTGACAGGCAAGGAAGGCTAACCAAATACTGGGTCTGTTTGCATGCAGGGCAGTGAAAAGGAAAGTGAGAGTATCTTAGGTCATTTACTGCCACTGTAAAACTCCAAAAACAAAGTGTGCAGTGGAGTTGAAATACCTTCAATTCCCATACCTTCAATTTTTCATTATTGTTTTCACCAAACTGGATGCAGCTTGCAGTTGGAAGACCATAACTCATCGACATGCTTATCCTGTCGTGGCTTTTTGTACCAACACTCTAAATTCAGTCTGTAGAGGCACATTACTGATTTTTGTAGGTGCTGTGACCCAAAATTAACTCCTTGATATTTTCACCTCCCTCTTTAACTTCTGTAAGAGGGGAATTGTAGACAAGACATAAACTTAGCTGTCCTCTGTGTGACATACAGACATGCCAGGAGCTTAGTGAGCAACTGAACTTCCTCATCAGCTACAGATCAAGGCTACATTTTTAATATTAGAGTCTTTTTTGGAGTGATTTTTACTAGAAACACCTAACTTGCATTATTCTTTCTTCCTCCCCAGTAAAAAACTCAACATGAAAAGATCTTCATGTGATCATCAAAATCATCAGCAAAGTAGGTGACAGTAATTTTTTAGCCTCACAAGGATACATACTTAAATGCATCCAGATATCCACCATATATTTTTTATATACTGGAGGGTTTATTAGTGCACAGCAGACACAGAGAGTAGATTAGTGGTGTCAGTGGCTATTCTTGTTCTGGGCCTTCTGTTGTCACCATGTCTACTAGTTCACCTGGATTTTAATCATGCAGATTGCTTTCTGGTTCTTTCCATGGCTTTTGAGATCACCCTAGTCTGTTTTCCTGGATGCACACTTTCTGTGTAACTGAAACTTTATTGGAAAGTGTTTGCAAGGAAGGCTCTGTCACTGTGCTCCCTCTGACAATGTCTCTGAGAGCATGCTGAGAAAGGCAGAGATCTCTGTGAGTTTTGCTTCCCCATTGCACCATATTCTTCATGATTTTTTAATTTAATCTCCTGAAGATACACTAGACTCAAGAAACCTGCAAGTCCTTTTCTCATACTGGAATGTTTCCTTGCTCATCTCTCCCTGAGTTTAGAGGATGAATAGTGTCATGGAAGAAAGCAAACTGATAAGTAATTGACTTTTAAAAATTTCTATCTTTCTAGGGAATGCAAATTGTTTCCTTGTAGTATCTGACAGAGTAACACAAGTATCTTGCCATGGCAACCAGCTTATGGAACAGAAAAAAAAAATATCATTGCAAGGTGCTTTGTTACTCTAACAGGGAAAGAAGCTGAGACCTTATCAATTTTGTTCACTTGTGTGTCATGCATCATCTAGGTAGCAGAACCTGTCCATTCAGTGCAAGTCATCTGCCTTGTGCGCCTATCTGATACTTGGATCAAAGCTGAAGTGCAGTCAGAAGGAAAGAAGGAAGTGTTCAGAAGAATTGAAACAAGGCTGGATTCTCAGAAACACAAAGACAAATCCATTTCCTCAGCAAGCTAATGCAACTCTGAAGATGCCAGTAAGGGATGAACCAATTCTGAAATTAATTTGGCTTGCATTATCTGACAGTCTCCATTATTTTACTGTCCTCCTTTATTCTTTTTTAAGTGAAGTAAGTCTGCAGATCTGTAAGTATTTTGGATTTACTTGGGACAAAGGATGGAATAGGCTTGCAAGGTCTGTCTTCAAACCTATTCTCTTTACAGGGATGCTTCTGGGAAGGACAGAATCATTGCCACTCATTTTGCTTGGGTTAGTGAGTGAATTTAGAAATGCCAAAGGGAATCAGCTGAGGTCAGAGAGGGGAAACCATCATAGTTACCACTTTGGGAGCAAATAAAAGCTGACTTTGTTAGCTCAGAGGAGGACAGTTTTGAAAACTGTTGTTTGTGCACAGAGACCAGCAGAACTACCCTATGCTGAGGATAGGCTCATTTGTAGTTCTTGAGTGGGTCTAGGGTATGCTTTACTCTGGAGCTGGAAAGGATGTCTTCTGTGGGACAGATTTGAAAAGTGAAGGAAAAGCTGAAAGTTTCTTAATCCCTTGACTGCTGATTTGAGTCACAAGTAACACAACTTGTGATGGACTGAAGTAAATGCTCCCCCTCCTATTTTGAAAACACTCCCTCCCAGTTAAAATTTATGCTGTTCATGCACTAGTACTAATGCTTGAGAAACAGTGGCCAGCTTTCTGAGCTGCCTGGGGCCTAGCTGAATTCACAGGTAAAATTGTCGTGATTCATGGACAATTCTCTTCTAGCTTCCTGGTGAGGCTGTAGAGAAAATGCTGATAGATAACAAACCCTGACAATAGCATGACTTAGAAAGAAGCCTTTGAAAATAAACTCTTAATGTATCAGATAAATCTATGTGAGATGCAAAGCTAGAGTTCACTCTTGACAATGAATTCTTGTACTGTGAGTTACTGACTATAAAAAGACTTGGGAAAAATCTGAGTCTCCTGCAACACAAAGAAACCTTGAGATAAATGAAAGTCATCTCAAAGGAACCAAGCTAAAACTGTTCAACACTATAATTTAACACAGTCTCCTAGAGACTGGGAAAAGTCAGTGGGCTTATCCTTACTGCAGGTTGTACCAAGAGAGAGCCACAAGAGATATCACAAGTGTTAAATGCCACAAGTGTGTACTGTCATCTCAAGGGCCTGGGAATCTTGGAGATACCTAAGACTTGGAAGCAGCAGTCCAGCTGCAAAGTATTTTAAGGCTGACACTGAATTGGAAAAATCTCCTGGAATAATCAATTAACAAAAGAAAACACTGAATTAATTAATCAATCCTCAATAAATCAACAAAATCTTCCTTTAAATAGTCTCCAAAGACATGGCATTGCTTCAGATGACTCGAGCAGTGAATGGGACCACTTTGTTTATAATCCCCAAAATAATGGCATTAATACTGGATTTAAATTCTACTAAATACGTATGCTCAGGCTTCTTTCAACCAAACCATTTGAAATGCTGCAGAAGATTCTCGTTGAGCAGAGCAAAGCTGTCACTTCTGGGGGGTTGTCTGATCCAGGACAAGATCTTTCTTATGATGATTTCCTTTTTGAAATAAGCAAGGCAGCATCTTGCCAAGTGCCTGGCCCAAGCCCCACAAAAACTAGAGAGAGAAAAGATTCCTGTTGACTGAAATAAATTTTGCTAACAGTTGGATTTGGTCAATTTTTGAACTGAGAATAGAAACTTGCAGAGATGATGCTCTGGAATCACAGAAATTAAAGACTTTGTAATCAGAGCTTGGAAGTGGAAAGAGATTCGTGTTCCATAGTTTAAAAATACAGACAGCTGCTGATTCCTTTTTTTGCTATTAAAAACCCCACAACCCAAACACACACACACACACACAAGACATAATTCAGAGGCTGGTCATTTCCCAGTCAGCCTCCTTGTAGAGACACTGTGGGAATGAACAGCTATCACATCTCCCTAGATGTGATATGCAATACTTGGTAACACGAGGCCCTCCCCTGAGTGGATAATGGGATGGTTGGACTTCAGATTTTGCTGTGTGGGGTGAGCAGGGGGGAGAAATGAGATAAAGGTTTGATCTCTGGGTATTTACAAGCAGTGTGACTTTCTACAGGTACCTGCTAGTTTCAGTCTGATCTGAAGCACACTGCCCTCTATTGTGTCCTGTTTATTCCTGTGGGTGTTTGCTTAAGCCCCCAGCAAACGTCCTTTTTGGCTATTTGTGTTTTTTCCAGGGAGTTATAGCTGATCATGTGGTGAATCTGGAGCCTGAGATGCTCAGAAATGACACTGATTCTCTCAAGAAATGCCCCCACCTCATCAAAAGTTGCCAGGGTGGGTGAGGTCCTGTGTCTCCTTCCACTCTCTGCTGTGCCTGCCAGCGTAGATCAGCAAGGGTCAACTACAGCAGGAGGCCTGGTAATGCAGAAAGCTGCAAGTTGGGAGCCACACTGATTTTCCTGGCAGTGGCTTGCTGGCATATGTACAGGAGCTTTTGTTAGCTGTCAGCCTGAATGGAATGTCAGTCATTCCCTTGGAGCCTGATCTTCAGATCACTGCACTCTGAGAGAGGGCTTTTGCCTTCGTCTTCATACAGCAATAACTCAGGTCTGGAAGCTGGAGGCCTTATTTTTTGTTAAGAAGCCCTTGTGATATTTAGTCCCCATGTGATTTTCTTTTTCAAACTCTACAACAAAGTTTGAACTCTTTGCAACTGATATGCTACCAGTTTTGTTTTTTTTTTATGGGACACTTTGGATCACTTACCATGCTCTGGGTCATCTGTCACTTTTGCTGTCAGTTGCCAGATTTCCAGAGTGGAAATAGGATGAGTTGCTAAGGGATGTCTTGTGCTCTATATCATTTCTGCATTCACTGATGTGCAACAGATTTATCTGTGTAGTTCAAGGCCTCTCTCTACCATATGAGTTTGTACTGAAATCTCAGACCATCCCACATGTTCTCCTGAAGAACACACTAAGATTATTGGTATTCTTTTTAAAATAGTCTTCTTCTTCATCAGCTAATGCTGATTTTCTTCCCCTCAGCATCAAAGAACAATTGCTAACTACATCTCTTTCTTGCAGAAATTTCAAAGCAGTGTTGCACAGCATGATTCAGGCATGCACACATGGTAGAACTAAATAGAATTAAAGACATTTGTGTTTATCCAGTTAAACTACTGGTTCCTTTTCCTTTGACTGTTTTTTAATATACTGGCCACACACTGTCTCTAACCTTGCCATGCAGCCCTCCTTCTCATCATCATGCTCAAGCTGCTGAGCCTTTTCTTCTCTTCTGTTAAGCACCTTACTAAATTTTGATTTTCCTTCTACTGTGAGGAGATGCCCTGTGCCTTGGTTCCTATCTATGCAAGCAAGTAAAGCTGATGTGAAGCAGAAATACAATACAATACAATACAATACAATGCATAAAATAAAATCACTGTGTAGACTGGAGAGGAGGATAGAATCCAGCCCTCCCAGCATCTCTCTTAGTGCTCTTAACACACCAGTGTATGCTCTATTCCTACCCAACCTTAGTAAAGCTTGATTATCTGGTCCTTCCTTTTCCATTATGGACAGCTGTTTTCCTCTGTGGCAGCCTCTTCCTGATGCCCTTGTGCAGTGTTTCCAGTTCCCCCTCCATCCCTCTCTGTGATTACCTCAAATACATGCTGCTGCAGTAACCAAGTCCATAGGTGACCTCAGCCTTGACATTATTTATAGCAGAAGTAGACACTGTCCTGCAGTGCAGCTGCTCATTGTCAGAGCTAAAGATCCTGAGTTACAGAACTCTCTGGGAGCTTATGGTGCTAGCAGTATTCCCACATCAAGTGAGGTCCAGGCTAGATGTTGAAAGGTTTCTTTGGCAGTGAGGCTCTGCTCTTTTGTCACTATCCTGTCTAGGCTATCCTTGGAGATATCCAAGGAGAGATTCCCTAGTAAAGGTGAGGGCATAGCCCTCACACACAAATGCCTTCAAGAGCAGCACAGGGTTAGAAATCATCCCTTCAGTCATACATTACATAGTTGACCTCTCCAGGGTATTTCTACACCTATTTCATAAAGATTCTCTTCTTGCTGGCAGTTACCCCTTTCCTTATTACAGAACTTTCCCACACTGAAGCCATAAAGTTGACCACAGCATCTTGGGGTTTTTGTCTGCAGTTTGGTCATCCCCTTTCCTCTTCTGCTTCTCCATCAGGTAAGGTGAAAAGCAGAAGAGGACCTGCAGTCACTTGCATCTTGCAGGACTGGTGCAGGTCCATTGCATATTTCTAGGTAAGTTTTCAGGCAGATGTTCATGAGCTCAGTGGTGGTGTGACTCTGCATGTGTGTGTGTGTGTGTGTGTGTGTGTGTGTGTGTTTGTGTCTGCAAATCACCCAGATACTCTCTGAGGGCTTTCAGGGGCCAACACTAAACATTTCAGAAGTCAGACCTCCTGCAAGATTCCTAATCTGAAATGGCCAAAGCAACATATTGCAAATTTCTTCTCTGGTTTCAGATTCATGACTTTGTGTTTCCCACTTTCAGTCAGCAGACTTCAGTTGGGGAAATAGTGAAGTTAACATATGAAAACACTGATCACAAATGTTACATGAATCCAAATGACTGATGGAATTTCAGCCATTGACTATCATAGCTTGTGTTAATCTCCAGATGTTGTATTAACACTGAGCGATTTCCCAGTTCTCATTAGCAATATGCTTTGAGAGGGGTAGAAGGTGTTAGCTGTACTTTCCCTTCAGTGAGCTGTTTAATCCTTGGAGCTTACTGGCAGTGGGATTTGGGGGACCTGCGTGATCACAAAGAGAATTTAAGAGTAAAATTCTGCAGTACCCTCCCTCTGGCTTCTCTGGGACAGTGCACAGGGGAGGGAATGGGTTCAGAGCTGCTCTGTTTCCCCTTTTAAGCAGCACTGGTGTGCTCCAGTGAGGACTAAGCAGGAAGCTGCTGCCTTCTTAGTCAAGATCTTCCTGGTTTTCAGGAGCACACTCAGACTGGCTCT